AAGAAACTGTTAAAATATATACTAGTTCTGCAAATGGGTGTTTGAAATATACGTTGATGTCGAATATCATGAGTCACTAAGTCATTGTTTATAATATAAGGTTCAATGTTTTCAAACAGATAATTAGGGGTATGACGGTTTGTTATTTAAAAAAAATAGCATATTTTGCTGGTCATTTCTGCGTTTCTTAAGTGTATCCCATCCTAGTTCATTATAAATGACAGCATGACTAGTACCCCTACGTAATCCAGTAACTATTCTAGCAGCAATCAGCTGGATGGATTCAAGAAGATCGGATTCTGACTGATTACAATTATTCCACAAAACACTTACTCAAGGTTTGGACGAATATAAGATTTGTATATTATTTCTAAAGATTTCCTGTCGAGTCTATACTTTAGTGATCTGAACAGATTCCCTTTTTTACAAAAGATACACAAGTATAAATACCTAAACTAAACGGGAAACAAACATAAGCGTTTCCCGCACTGCATGTAACGTGGCAGACATCAGGCGGTATGTCATGTAATCGCTTACTGTGATACGTTATCAGCTGTGAAAGACAAACTTGTGTAAAACATTACATAATGTCTCATCTGTGTCAGTGGAGTGTTAAATATTTAAATGTATTAAAGAATATGGATTATACTTAGTAATGAGGAATTTTCCTCCAGTTTAACTTTCGACCAAATATAACGTTTCCGCCAAGCGTTGAATGTATGGCACGCTGAGTACCAATGTTTCCTGTAACGATATATTCAAGCTCATTATAAACAGCAACCCACCGAGGCAAACATTTCCTGGTGTACATTAGCTTTTCCAAACCAATATTAGCAAATGCATATTTTTCAAATTGTAAAGGATATCGAAAGGCAGTTTAGAAAAATATTCATGCTTCATCTTTTGTTACTGTCACTTTATAAAAGTTTTAATCGGACCTGTCTTCTCTCTCATGTACAAGATGCATGCAGAAGAAAAGGGAGAGGCATACAAACAGCCCTTTCTGCATCTATCCATTAGAAACATTCATGCTATGTTATCTTTTGATTATATTATGCAAAACAACAAGGAGATTTTCTAAAATTGTGAATCAACAAAATGCCCCTAAATATCCAAGTCAAGCTTTTGAATTGATATGCATATGACTTTTCAATAACAATTTATAAGACTCTCCAGTTTTAATAACAGAGAAATTGAACAGGTAGAATCAGAATTTCTTTTTAATGGAGTACAATTTATATGCTTGTGCATGTACAATTTTAATCCTATTATTGATGAAACGCAAGAAAATAAGAATTTTTGAAATGACGGTCGGTTTCGCATCTAAATAAGATTATACTTCGTTTGAGTTAGGATTGAAACTCGTTTTGAACAGATAAAAATATGTCGATGAGATTAGAGTAAGCGTTTTAATATCGTTTTTGTTTTTCTATATTATATTGGAAAACTGTTCAGCGTTTGCTAGAGAGTATGCCATGCGGTTCCACCACAAACGCCCAACCCTAGTTGTCCAACCGTTAATAATGACTATACAGTTGTTAGCTTTGTACAATGTTTGCTGTCACGTTGTCACAGCCAGCCTACCTCTGTTTGTCAAAGTGACGTCGTGTTTATGTCCTATATATTACACGTGTCATATACAAGGTATTTATATTTGTTAGCTGTTGAAATGTTTTCTGACATATAAAATGTTTAGGGAACTTTCCTACATTTAATAGGAAATTAATTGTTGTGTAGACTTGATCACTGATTATACAAGTTAGCTTTCCAAATAACCAGCATCACGTCGGTCATGGCGTGGTTTCTCTATCATTTAGGGATGTTGCGAGTGAGGGTTGATGTGATTGCGAGTTATATAAGTGTATATATAAAGGATGTCATATTAGTTCAATAACTTGTATGATGACGTTAGACACGTGAATAAAATCACGCAAGATGTGATCACCCTAACATAACGAATGATATCACAGCTATTTTAGTGTATAAGTGCGGGTCTCTTGCAAACAAGACATTTCTTAGTGTTGTTTTATTACCTGGTAAGGTTTGAATTACATAATACATATTTATAACCTAACTTCCGGGGAGTTTTGTATATAACGATAGAAGAACACAAATGCCTTGGTTGTATTGTTGTCGGAATAAAATAGGTATTTGCAAGATGGTGACTTGGTAGGAGGCGAATTTGGTTTTCGAGCATTAAGTATAAGATATACTAAATTGTTCCTGGTAGAGGACAGACAGATAATCCGGAGATCCCCATACCACTCTACCCATACTATTTATATGACGATAACACTAATCGCCTCTGTGACCAACTCCATGTTTTGTTATCGACAGTTGTGGGGCAATCAAACATTCCTAATGGGTGACATAGGGGATTTACCTTCAGTAACCTTTAATGTGTTTTGTAGATAACGCCTCGTCTTATCATTATCACCTTGGTTAGACAAAGATCGATTGTACTGTTGACATGATATACGTGTTCCTTATGTTTGCAAACTGATAAAAAACTTATTTACTCACAAATATATAGCATACATATAAATCAGTTCAAATATGGTAATAAGAACAAAATAGAGATAACGTAAGCCTAAAATCGGAATAATATTTTATTCCTAAGTTATTTATTCATCAATGTCAACAAGGATCGCTATCGAACATCTTCGTTTTCGTACACTTTGTGGACACTCTGCAACCTGCAATGTTGTGCGATTCTACAATTTCAAGGTAATTGTTTCGATTAAGTTAGCTGTTGCTGCCTATTTGTACAAACTTTAACGTGTTAAGAGCATCATTGTCATATTATTAGGTTTCTACATATATTTTGATAAGTCGTAAATGGACAAAACGGTCATACGGTGCTGTATAATATTTTCTTTTTCTGCGTTTCTGCGTCGCCTTTTGGTTTCGATTCATGATATTCTTCCTTATCAGGATTTCTAGTGATTATTTTATGATAGTTTCAGTTTCTTATGTATAAGCACCTAAATCCACGATGAATGTGAAAAGTCTTTCTTAAGACATTTTGTAGCTATCACTTCCATTCATGTTGGCTTGTAATACAAGACAAAGTCTGGAAACTCTATTCTGCATTCTGAAAATTAAGCTGGAAAACATGTAGGCTTCCACATATTGTCATTACATTTCTTTTCAATTCATGAAAACTTTGGATGTTGTTATTTTAGCATCACGAAAAAGTCACAACAATCATAGCAAATATCAAAATTGAAGATCTAACCCGTCTATTTGAACCTAACCAACGTGAAATAAACAATTTGCGCAACCCCAAGTCAATAGAATCCGGTCGTTTTTTCCCATCGTGCATTCCCTTCCCGTGATTAAAGTCCGATTTGTCTGCCTTTTGTGGGTCAAGTTTTATTTTCTTCCTTGTCTAGAGCCAAGATTTTTGTATAACTTTAGTGAAGTGTGCAAATAAAAGTCTTGATTGATTATTCCTTTCTTCTTTTTTATTATGTTTGCTTGATAATTACATGTCCTAGTTAGCCTTAATATCTTCCTGTATACTGTTTCCACCAAATTTACAACATCACAAGCAGAATATTTTACGCGTAAACTATAAAAACAGTATTGAACTGATGGGGGGGTCATTTTCCGATGCCCTTGTATAGTTTCTTTACAAAAGTGATCAAACGGAACCATCGGTTTAAGTATTAATTTGAACTGAACACAAGATACTATAACTTGACTATAATCATCATCGTAACCACGTCATATACGTTCTGGCAGTTAAGGTTAAAAACACCTTAAAGATGCTATATTCACCCTCAATTTCAGCTATTAGAATTGTATATAGCGACGTTAAATCAGTCAATATGGCATCAGTGCTGATAGCTTCTTAAAAACGTGTTAACTGGACTTAAAACATGTCAGTCTCGTTTACGACCGAACTGATTGCTACGACATAACTTATTACATGAACTTCATTGATATACCTAGGTCATGCAAAGCTCACGTTCTCTATAACTTGCTACATAGGGGTATATAAGCTTCAAACCAAACTGATAATAGCTATGGTAATATAAAGAGGTCATGTACACTGTCCGAATAACATATTTTACCGGTATATGTATACTAAAGGCATTGTGTCCATAATGAATAAGTCAACTTTTTATAAATTGTCCTTTCTCAACACTCAATGTTGCTATTAAAAAGCATTTACAAAACATTACAACACTTTTCATTTGCAATGGCTATGTCTTGTCTTGCGGATGTATAACATCACAGAGAGTTATAAAGCGTTTACGCTAGCACTGACCTTTTCGTAAAAAAACTTTGAATCAAAAGCAATATTAGTAGGTAAGTAATGTCAAGCATAATGGAGACACGTTCATGAATGAAGCTTCAAGTTACAAATCAACAAATGCATTTCCCTGATACAAAGTGTATTCTTGACATGTCCTAATAGGAAATAGAGATATTGTTAGCTCTGCTTGCGACGTCCTCATATGACCCTAACAGTTGCGAGAAGGCTTAATCCCAAATAACAACAAAAATCATGTGTTTCTAAACCCATGTAGTATGGTAGCGAAATTCTGATGGCACGTTTAAAGAGACCATTTGCTATGTATACTCCACAAAAAGAAACGTTCCTTGCTTTTCTTTCTTGACTTACTTTGGACATTAACTTTGACACAAGTATTGCGTACACCTTTTCTTCGAGTGACACAACTGATATGTCAGAGAATAGTTTGTCAGGTGTGACATTGACGTCCTCAATCTGTCAATCATTTGTCACTAACGAGGCTATATATATAGATGGAAAAGTCGTTTGAAATCAAAGAAAGAACTTCAAACATTTTAAACCCATCTGTAACATGTTTAGGTTGTGTGGTTATATGAATATAACTCCTTATCCGCCCCACCCATCCTTTCTTTTGTGCCACAAACAGGGTCAAGTGACTCTGTTTATGTCTTAAATATATACCACAGCTGTTGTAAAATGAAAACTTGTTTGACAACAACACTCGAATTAAAATATCATCACATTTAATTTGAATCATATATATCATCCTACACATCATATGCAAATCAATGTATTCCTAAATATATACACATTTATAAAAGTATACCTTCAGTAAACAATATTTTTTTTATTTTCATTGTTTTTTATATTTTTAAACACCGAATTTGCACTGACAGAAAGTCATGCGGTGAAATGGAGAACGTGAACAGCTTAGCTGTATTCAGGATGTATAGGGTAGGAAGGCAGTCAATCATGTTCTTATTATACGTACCATGCATCGAATAGTACTTGCATCATATTAACATTAAAAAAGTCATCATCAATGATATCTAGAATTGATATCAACATGTGTTCACAAATACATTAGGAGTCCCTTAAAAGTTTGCTTTAAAAAGACAAATGACGGGATTCCTTGGTAGACTTGTTTACAGCGGCCATTTGAAGTACTGTTGTAGTGTGGTCAGATCATGGGAACGCATGTTTTAATGCTGACAGTATCAGTCGTTGTGATGGCCCCTCGGAGTAAATGTAGTCTGTCCCTGTGGTCTCTTGTTTTAATGTTGATAATAAACAGACCCTGTGATGACAAGTGTAGCCACAGTAGTCACGTGTTGCAGTCATGAAGTAGGGTGACTATAATCTGTCCTTATATCTCAATCCTGGTAATATGATGACCTATAAGTTGTTATAGTATGTCTCTGTGGTATCCGTCCTGGTGATGACCTTATGCAGTTGTTTTAGTCTGGCCTGGGGGTCTCCGTCACGGTGATGACTTTGTAATGTGGCTGTAGTCTTTCCCGTTGGTCTCCATCTTGGTGATGACCTCGTGGAGTGGTTGTAGTCTGTCCCTGTGATTCTTGTGATGATCTTGTGAAGTACTTGAAGTATGTACCTGTTGTCTCTTGTTTAAATGTTGACAAAAGTCAGTCCCTGTGATGACCTCGTGGAGGGGTTGTAGTCTGTCCCTGTGATTCTTGTGATGATCTTGTGAAATACTTGAAGTATGTACCTGTTGTCTCTTGTTTAAATGTTGACAAAAGTCAGTCCCTTTGATGACCTCGTGGAGTGGTTGTAGTCTGTCCATGTGATGTCCTCGTGGAGTGGTTGTAGTCTGTCTCTGTGATGACCTCGTGGAGTGGTCGTATTCTGTCCCTGTGATGACCTCGTGGAGTGGTTGTAGTCTGTCCCAGTGATGACCTCGTGGAGTGGTTGTAGTCTGTCCCTGTGATGACCTCGTGGAGTGGTTGTAGTCTGTCCCTGTGATGACCTCGGGGAGTGGTTGTAGTCTGTCCCTGCGTTTTCTTGTTTGAATGTTGGCAAAGGTCTGTCCTTGAAATGACCTCGTGAAGTGGTTGAAGATTGTCCCTGTGGTTTCTTGTTTTGATGTTGACGATAATCAGTCCCCGTGGTCACTGCGTTGCGTAGTAATAGTAGTCGTCCTGGCTCGAACTGAAGGTGCTGCTGATTTCCTGAACGATGGCGGAAAACTTCGGCCGTGACGACTGTTTATCCTGCCAGCATTTCTTCATTAACTCATAGTGCCTGTGTAAGACATACGCATACAGTAACAGTATCTGCAGAGTTATGCTCCCTTCTGATTGATAGATTAATCGATGATATAATAAAAAAAAACCTAAGCATGTCAATAATACTTCGCGTATTACAAAAAATGATAAATAACGACTGAAATGTATAATTATTGATATTTATATAAATTTGATACATACACCCTTTCAATCTCTTTGTAGTAAATAATAAATATTAGAGCATATGTTTACAATTTCCAATAACCATCACATAGTACATTATTTTTACATATTAGGTACACAATATATAGGCATATAAATCTTGTTTCTGTAGTAGGATAATTATGCCAATTCAACACGTAGGACACCAGCAATTTTCTAATCAAGTAATGAAACACGCCTTAAAACCGCCAAGGTACCGATTTGTAAAGTCCCTTCTTGTATGTTACCGCGATAAATGTTAAGTTAACATAGGTCACAAGAAACAAATAACTTACATGTCAGCGCAATATTCAGGGCGGCTCATACGGTATCCATTGGTAACATTGGTGGCCACGTCCATGCTCCGTATCCCGGGATACGGTGTGTCACCTGTCAGGTCAGCAGAATACGTAACACATGAATGAATGATCAGACACTTGCACGGCAAAATGTGTTTATTAATAGTACTGTATATCATATGTTTGAATCATTGTTAAATCGATGAAATACCTACTCATAATGCATATTAAAATTAAAAAAGCCCATAACTCACAAAATTATGTTTCCAGCCTGAACTATTTGTATGTATCCAGATGGACATTTCTACATATTTTAGGTATACCAATCTCCTACCTACCAAGACTGAATATTTCCCATAAGACGATTCCGTAGGACCATACATCACTCTGCATTGTAGCGTCCTTCAATGACGTCATACATTCTGGAGCCATCCATTTGATTGGTACTTTTTCCTACAATGTAAAGTAGAACGGTTTACCTTCACCTAACCATTTAGCATAGAGGCGATCAATAAGAGAGACTTTACCTTAAAACTCTATTTTGAATTTCCTGTTAAGCATGTTCACTATGGTATGCAATGAATGTTGAAATTCTCTTTCCTATAAAACCTTAAATGATGGCTTAAGAATGATCCTCTTTTTGTACGGCTTGACAGAAACATGTTGCAAACATGTTGGACCTGATATCACCGTGAGGTGACAACACTGACCTTTCCAGTGTCACCGTCTTGTTGCTCGGTTTCCCTCGTAGGTCCAAACCCTGCGACTTTTGCTTCTAATGACGACGCCAGAAGAATATTTCTAGCAGCAAGGTGACGATGAATAATCTAGAAATGAAACAGTTGTCTTATTAACTGTTAAATGTATTTCTCCACGTCTACTATAATGATAACACTTCGTAAATATAGCAGATTAAAAAAAAATGGTAATTTTTTCAGCAGACTGTAAGCATTCCTGAAGGAACAGACTGTGTCTTTCCGACTTTTTTATTTATTTTTTTTTATTTCAAGCTGAATTTATTAGCAGGATTGGTAACAAAAACCTTGCCAAGTCCTTATTGATGAGCTTATGAGGACTGGTAACAAAAACCTAACCAGATCCTTATTGATGATCTTATCAGGACTGGTAATAAAAACCTAGCCAAGTCCTTATTGATGAGCTTATCATGATCAGGACTAGTAACAAAAACCTAGCCGGGTCCTTCGCGATGAGGTTATCAGGACTGGTAACAAAACATAGCCAGGTCCTTATTAATGAGCTTAACAGGACTGGCAACAACAATCTAGCCAGGTCCTTATTGATGAGCTTATTAAGACTGGTAGCAAACACCTAGCCAGGTACTTATTAATGAGCTTAACAGGACTGGTAGCAAAAAAACCTAGCCGGGTCCTTAGTGATGAGGTTATTAGGACTGGTAACAAACACCTAGCCAGGTCCTTATTGATGAGCTTATTAGGACTGGTAACAAACACATAGCCAGGTCCTTATTAATGAGTTTAACAAGACTGGTAACAAAAACCTAGCCAAGTCCTTATTAATGAGCTTATTAGGACTGGTAACAAACACATAGCCAAGTCCTTATTGATGAACTTACCAGGACTGGTAACAAAAACCTAGCTAGGTCCTTATTAATGAGCTTAACAGGACTGGCAACAAAAATCTAGCCAGGTCCTTATTGATGAGCTTATTAGGACTGGTACATGTAACAAACACCTAGCCAGGTACTTATTAATGAGCTTAACAGGACTGGTAGCAAAAACCTAGCCGGGTCCTTAGTGACGAGGTTATTAGGACTGGTAACAAACCATAGCCAGGTCCTTATTGAAGAGCTTATTTGGACTGGTAACAAACACCTAGCCAGGTCCTTATTAATGAGTTTAACAGGACTGGTAGCAAAAACCTAGCCGGGTCCGTAGTGATGAGGTTATTAGGACTGGTAGCAAAACATAGCCAGGTCCTTATTGATGAGCTTATTAGGACTGGTAACAAACACCTATCCAGGTCCTTATTAATGAGTTTAACAGGACTGGTAACAAAAACCTAGCCAAGTCTTTATTAATGAGCTTATTAGGACTGGTAACAAACACATAGCCATGTCCTTATTGATGAACTTACCAGGACTGGTAACAAACACATAGCCAAGTCCTTAGTGATGAACTTATCAGGACTGGTAACAAAAACCTAGCCAGGTTCTTATTGATGAGCTTATCAGGACTGAAAACAAACACCTAACCAAGTCATTATTGATGAGCTTATCAGGACTGGTAACAAACGTCTAGCCAGGTCCTTATTGATGAGCTTATCAGGACTGAAAACAAACACCTAAACAAGTCATTATTGATGAACTTATCAGGACTGGTAACAAAAACCTAGCCAGGTCCTTATTGATGAGCTTATCAGGACTGGTAACAAACACCTAACCAAGTCCTTATTGATGAGCTTATCAGGAATTGTAACACTCGCCTAGCCAGGTCCTTTCACAGTAAGATGTATCGACGATGTGCTGTCTTTGAATATTAAGAAAAATATTAATCACATCGATTAAAGATACCATTACATCTTAGAAACATTGACACCACAGACACGTCAACTTCAGCCGCTTTTCTCGAACTTTACTTTCAACATGACCAACAGGGACGGCCTACAACTAAGCTGTACGATAAAGAGGACTTTTCGTTGATAGCAACATATCTGCTTCCCCTACCAACAGCTTTAGGATTTCGCCGTAAATTTATTACAGCTTGTTCCGAATATCATAACGTTCAACAAAGGGTTTCCTAAGATGCAGGTTGATGTAGACTACGGACAACTTTATTATCGTCAACAGCAATTCACAGCAAGCGTCGCCATGTAAATCTTTTCTTTGTTCATATCTTGCCCTAGTTTTATCGATTTTGAGCTCGAGGTTTGGTTTTGTTGTCACTTCGGTATTCTCTTGTTTTTTTCTTTTACAATCTATAGACATGATAAACATACTGAAAACACTATACATTATACATTTAAAACAGTTATTGCATCCTTTAAGATATACATAGAGGACCTATATACGTTTTTCTTTTTTAAAATTAAAGCATATCCCGAAATATCATCAAAACCAGAATTCGTACTTAAGATCGATAACGCCTGGACAAATGTTAACACGACGGCAAGGATATTACAAGCAGATGATAACGCCTGGACAAATGTAAGCACGGAGACAAGGATTATACAAGCAGACGATAACGCCTGGACAGATGTTAGCACGACGACAAGGATAATACAAGCAGATAATAACGCCTGGACAAATGTTAGCACTACGACAAGGATAATACAAGCAGATGATAACATCTGGACAAATGTTAGCACTACGACAAGGATAATACAAGCAGATGATAACGTCTGGACAAATGTTAGCACTACGACAAGGATAATACAAGCAGACGATAACATCTGGACAAATGTTAGCACTACGACAATGATAATAAAAGCAGATGATAACGCCTGGACATATGTTAGCACGACGATAAGAATAATACAAGCAGATGATAACGCCTGGACAAATGTTAGCACGACTACAAGGATAATAGAAGCAGATGATAACGCCTGGACAAATGTTAGCACGACGACAAGGATGAAACAAGCATATGATAACGCCTGGACATATGTTAGCACGACGATAAGAATAATACAAGCAGATGATAACGCCTGGACAAATGTTAGCACGACTACAAGGATAATAGAAGCAGATGATAACGCATGGACAAATGTTAGCACGACGATAAGGACAATACAAGCATATGTTAATGCCTGCACAAGTGTTAGCACGACGACAAGGATAATACAAGCAGACGATAACGCATGGACAAATATTAGCACGACGACAAGGATAATACAAGAAGACGATTACGCCTGCACAAATGTTAGCACAACGACAAGAATGATACAAGCAGATGTGATCGCCTGGGCAAATGTTAGCACGACGAAGCAGATGATAACGCCTGGACAAATGTTAGCACGACGACAAGGACAATACAAGCAGATGATAACGCCTGGACAAATGTTAGCACGACGACATGGATAATACAAGCAGATGATTCATCGATGAAATCAAATACGTAAATCTTTGTCTTAATGAAAACTGCGGTAGTAGCAATGAAACAAAACAAATAAGCATGATAAAAACCGCCAACGTTTACATTGTAGAAGGAAAATATTCGCAATTAGTTCATTATTGTGGTCATAAATATTATTCACTATCTTCATTAACCCACATTTCTCGAACCATTGTGTGGTAATCCTGTCTTGCAGCGGTCCAAATCTCTCATGGCGATCAAATGAGAACCCAAAATTTCAAGATAGAAAAATTGAAGTCACACTTATCACACAGCTTAGAAGTGAACCGTCCCTGTTGTTCATATTGTTAGTGAAGATCAATGAAAGCATCTGAAGAAGAAGGATCTATAGTGTAAGTTTTCGTTCAGTAGGTGTAACGCCGTTATCAAAAGACAGCACATCGTTGATATATCTGAAAGTGAAATGAAAGGATTTGGCAACTACAATGAACCTTGTTGAAATGGTAAATTAAGGTGGGGAGGATGTAAGATGCAACACCATTTTGTTTTGTTTTATTGAATCAAGGCATACCTGTTTTGAGGCGAGGTAATCCATTCCTTTAGCGATGTCAAAGGTCATTCGAAATAAGGTGTCCACGACACTGTCCGTCATCATTGTTCGCCGATTCTGCAGCCACGTCCTCATCACACCTGCCTCACACAACTCCAACAGCATGAATGGACCAACTGAATAACAAAAAACAAACCATTGGCTATACAGCTATACTATTAATGTTCGTTCATAACAAAATGTCACATGCTCAACATAACGACATATTTCGCTGAAATACTCGCTTACTAATAACTAGAATGCGACATTTGTTGTTTTGTACTGTACTGTTGTCTTTTCTCATTGATGTATATGTCACAGTTGACTACGTCACAGGATTTTCGTAGCTTCACTCGAGTCTAAACTAGTTAAGCGTTGAAGGTTGATATAAACGATTTAAAACGCCAGATATTTGGAAGGCACATCCCGCTGAAGTGATATAAGCGGTTTGTTACATGCCAAGATAAGTGCAATTATCATATACTACATGAAGTCTATATTCAATCTGCCAGCTGAGAAACCTTTATCCACTGTCGCCGTCATTTTTGTTATCCTGAATGATGACTGGGGTATCTTTGCGATAATTTATGCCTTTATGATATATAAAGCGATATTTTGATATTAAAAGCGAAGATTTGAATACAATTAATGATAGAAATCAAATTATATCACAGTTATGGCATTGTTCATCAGACTTAACAATCAAAGATATAATAGAAAATGGCCTTCTTAGATATCTCAGTAAAAGAGGGTTCGGTTAATGTAGATCGAATTGCAGGGCGTAATTTTCAATATCACAAATGATAGAAATGTGTGTTTTATTGTTTCTGATGTGGTATTATCCCTGGTTGGTACATTGTACATGTAATAGGTCATGAGTACAGATCTCAGTTTACTAAAATCAGTCATCAATTGTAACTATCCATCGTATTACCCTCATGCACTCGACTTTCCCGATCGCATTTCCCTAATTCGAAGTCTCTTTTGAAATATAAGTCAGAGGCACAACATATACGTTCCGAGTGACTGAAGCAAACGACGCCAATGGTGCAGACCCCTGATGGCCTTCACTGATGTGCTATTGTTCTCGTTTAGGTATAGAAAAATATGTGAATTGTCCCTGCCGAAAGAAACACTATCAATATCATACAAAAATCGAGTCTCTTTATACACAGGTAATAAATGTATTAATTTGTATACGGAAACGTGTTACACAAATATTGAAAACAATGTTCTAACGATAAAGGCTTCTAGAATGTTGGTAGCATTAGCACATTAGTGAACTATGCTTTTTACACTTTTTAGCGTTTTTGCGTAGCATTTTTCATTGATCTGAGGCATATCTCTCGCTATCCATACCAAGTGTAAACTGGGGCAAAAACGTCCAAAATACACCGCACGTTGATATCATTTCTTCGTCAGATTAACCGACATTTGAAGATATTATTTTAACCAAAACATTTAAAATTATATTTTAAAAGTGTTTATGAGATAATAAAATATACATTTTAATGTACGAAAGTGCAATATTAACTCCTATGTATAAATATCAGCGGATCATGATAATGTAGATATTCGTATTTAGGCAATTTATTTCACGTAGGAATTTAATATTTTTTTTAAATCTAATAATCGTGCAAATTTCATCTTCTTTTCATATCTAGTTCAATATGTGTTTTCTATGCAGTTTCATGGATTTTCTTATGAAAGAACAATATTCAAAATGGTAAATATAAATACTTACGTGGTTTGTTATCAAGGACAGCTCCAACGAATTCAATAACATTGGCATGGGAACCAGTCTTTGTCGCGAAGAAGTTTATCTTAGCATTCATTACCAATTCGTCTAGTTCGGTATGTGACTCTGGAACACAAACAACAATGAAATCAATATGCATTCAAGGTAAAAAGAAAACAACAAAAAAAGAAGTATTTTCCTCGGTAATATTGGAATGAACACTAACGTCATAGATTTCTTACCCTTTAACACTTTGGCAACGACGATCTTTCTGTTGTTCTTTTTGCAGTTTTGTGAAGCTTTGAAAACGTCAGCAAACCGTCCCGATGCAATCTTTTCAACTAGAGACACTTTACCATGATGAACCTCCCACGCCTGGTTCTCATTAAAAACCATTTGACCATACAGATACACATCCTCATCACCGACATCCGAATAGGCCAGGTTCTGAACGGAGCCAACATGAATGATTAGGTACTTGTGAAATGTCATCAATGTTTGAGACGACAATAACATTGGAGATAAAAAAGGGAATGCCAATGTGTCAACAAAAACCGCAAACCGAATTCAAAATCAACTAGAGAAAGAGAGATTAACATAGAGTAGAGACCTTTGAAAATGTACAATAAGATCAGATATTACGGAAGGGCAAGCATATTCTGCTTCAATGGATATTGAACATAACAATATATAGCTTTTTTTCATATCATACAGTTACATAGAAAACTCAATCGGGACCATAATACATCTCCGACATCTTTATCAAACTGCTTTACTTTCGCTAAATGTCGATATTTATCGCGTATTACCTGCACTAGTAAGCATCACACTCAATCTTATCTCAATGTTAATCAGTCTTTACCCCACCTATTGTTAAGATAAACGTCAAACACAGAGCAATTAATACCACATTTAAGAAATTTTGCTTGTATCGTTCACCTTGGAACTTTACATAAAGTCCAAAAGCGAGGTATTGCTAAGCAAGATATTCAGAAAAATGACAACAAATATGCAGGAGAAAATTTGGTGTTGAATAAAGGCAGCAGATTAGTTTAGTTGCTTTAGTATGAAAATAAATCGTATAATTAAAAGGTAAAAATAAGAATTCACTGTTAATAACATTATGTTCACGTTCACGGTGTAAGCATCCTACTGAGTCCAATTTGTGTAAGAAAACAAAATTACATTAAAATTATTATTCTTATAATTATACATTGTAGAAGATTATCAGTTTAAAATATTTACCGCAAATGACTTTCGTTCTTGATGCTTGTTGACCTCTCTCGAGTTGTTGTAGGTGTTAGATCGCCGACGCCTGGTTATCCGCCGCTGTATTTGACCGTAGATTGATTCCTTGTAGCGATTGAGCTTGCCTGTCCTCCAGAGCACTATACCAGCTATTAGTAAGCCCACAAGGATCAGCATAACTGTGGAAATGTATTGATACATGATAGCACACTAATTAACAGATCGGCCCTGTTTAACATACACTATACACATACAAAACATACATTATCGCGAAACAACAACAACAAAATATATAATAAACAGTAGAAAAAAGTCAATGAATATAAGGCACCGACGAATTGATTCAAAGTCGCACTCATATATTACAGGAAACATAACAACCAAATGTGAAACAGGTTAAAAATAACACCGCACTGTGTATCATCCACTTACGTGACAACTTTAGGTCTTCGCTTAACATTGCTTCATCATAATTGACTAACTCACATTTAACACATTGTAAGGTGTTGTCTGCGTACGTAGTAACTAATGAATGCTCTCAACATGAAGAATAATTATTCAACCTGACGGATCAAAACACGTCCTAGTACTGAATATTATGGAACACTAATGTTTATGGGGTTTTTTGCGAGATTGTAAAACAACTAGAAAGACTGTTCTAAGAAACCGTGCGTCTAATGAAGGTTTTACGTAATATGACAAAAACACTTCTTATTTACCCTGATCAATGTTTAGATTCCTCATATGTTAAACATGTGAGCATAGTTTCCGTGAATATGTGATGTTAAACACATATAATGAATCCAGAAAAAGAGACTTTCGTGTGCGTGTGTTCTAATGTTTTTTGTAAGTACAGACATGATTGTTTACTGCAGCCATATCCAGTGATTAAAAAAGTCGCGTTTTATGAACAAGTATTTGATGTCCTCGTAAAATTTACACTCGTTAGAAAATTAATGATTAATTGACGCGCGTTCAATCTACATTAACTGCTACGGACTACTAGTCAAGCCAATGAGAGTGATTGATATCAAATCATCGAACGTCTTTCATAATTGTTGTAATACACACAGTAATTGGGTTTTTTTTTTATGTTTTATGACATGTGTTTGACTGTCCAATTCTAAAATATTTGTTGAGAGTCTACCGAATCATCAACGCTGTTGCAGAACTCAAGGACTGACTATGACACTTGTCACGTTATCTTTTATATTTTTAGTAGAAAATTGGAAAGTTTATATATTGAATATGCCCAGGAACTAAATTAATCATCCAAAGTTGTCTCAGCAAATTTCAATCACGGAGATAAAAAAAAAAATGTTTATTGAATCCATTGTTTTTGTACGGCAATACTGTTGAGATAGGGCCCATTTTCTATCTACTCTTCAAACCAAGCCAATATTAATGAAATCGGGTAATTTCAAAGTGATTACCTGAAAATTTGTCTATCCTCTATTTTTCATCCCGCACAACTTGTTAACATCAAATGTTTGGTCTACGACCTCGCTGATGCATATTCGTTTGATGAAATAAGCATTTATTTATTTAATGGGTAAGATAACAGTTTACTAACACTAGGGCGGTGTTGCAGCTGGTGGACTATAAGTAATAGATGTATTGACCTTATTTGTAGAGGTTCCACTAAAACATTTCGTCCATGACGTGTTATTATAGTAGCGTATTATCAACGATGACTCACTCTTCTTTATTGTTAAGAGATGGGTAATTGGCTGTCTTACTCAATCTTTTGGTAAAATGTGACGCTGGTGACATAATATATTGGCCCCTTCCCATGTGCTTTATTAAGATTAGTAATATATTTTTCTTGTTAACTTTAACACATACCTATAGTTATTCCAGCAATAGCACCAGCTGATAAACCTTCATATTCTCCTGAAAGTGATAAAAATATAATAAAAATGCTTACATTTTAAACAATTGAAATCGCAATTAAAAGAAATAGTATATTAATTTTGCAAACATCATGCAAAAATGTTCCTTTTTCTAGAATAAATTAAGATCTACCTGTAGTGAATGTGATTTTGACTGGGTCACTTTTCTCATCCCCGTACTCAACCACGAACTGGGCGGTGTACGTAGTTTCCGGATCCAGGTTACCCAGCGTGTAGTATTCCGAGTCCTTGTGTACGTGCATTGTTCGTGACTTTCCAGACACGTTATACATCAGTAGTATGTCTGTTCGGTCGTAACAGCTCGGTCCCTGATGCCATTGGAAATTGGCGCTATACGACGTTGTACCGGTAACCGCCAGATGCATTGGTCCAGAATCTAATTCATATAAATATATATGCATAAAGCGTGTATCCATTTCAATTTGAAAACAATTTTGATAATATAAACAGACAGCCTTGATTAGATTTACAGCATTTTCTTAAGAAATAGAGCCTAGAGACTTACATTCTTCCATTCCACTCAAAGATCTTAAATCGTCTACCTTTGAAAGAAATATTAGTCATCAAAAAATAAGAGTGCATTCATCTAGGATGAAATTGAATTCCAACACTGTTGTAACTTTCTCGATTCGATCTTAATTATTGTCATTTCAAAATTTACATGTATCAACACTTTTGTAATTATTTTAAAAGACAGCATGCTTCGTGCATATACAATACTATTCTACAGAAAGTATTACCTGGAAACGCCCAAATGAACTTAACATCGCTGAATTAAAGACTTCGATGTCAATGTTTGTCACTTGTGTGGGAAGGTCATCCTTGGAAACCATGAACCAGCAGTTGTTCACCTCAAATTCATGATAAAAATAATAGCATTCCCCATCAGAGGTACACGCACCATCTTGGAGACTGGGTTTTCTCTATTTAACAGAGAAAAACACAAACACTACCTTTATATCAAATATATGAATTAAGCTAATTGATTTAATACATTGGTTGTGACGTTGTGGTACATGCAAATTATGTCTTTATATATTGTCTCTAAAATAAAGTTCAGCCAGGATAAATTTATTCATCTTATGCATGATATTTAACCACTTATGCGAAACTTATTAGTTTCCACTGCTGACTTTATGAAAAACGCCTTTTTAAACTATATTGTTACCTGTATATGTTGACTTAACGTTCAACTCAGTGAGCAGCTACGGGTCGAGTGCTTTCATTGGTCAGTGTTTGTAAGTTCATGCTAGCTAGCATGATCGTCCTCACAGTTTCGTTAATGTTATAATTCTTATTTGCCGAAAAAAACATATTTTCAAGACAGATAATTTTACAAGGACGAAAAAGACCGATTTTTCGAGTAATTAAGCATGGCATCATGATTAGAATTAATTCAACCTTTTCTAAGTTACATAATATGAAAACATATAAAAAGCATTTGTTGTAGTGGACTAATGTAATATTTATCAGAGGAATGCGAAGCGTCATGTGTATTTTAACAACAGGAAAAGATGATTTGTAAATATTTGATATACTATTAATCCAGCAGTATTAGGTAAATGTGAATTATTCAGTAAGAAATAATGTGTTTGCTTTTAGATGTCCGATTTGAATTAGGGTAAATATAACTATAACTTAGGTACTCATAATTGGCTTTGTGCTTCACTCAGGTAATTGTAGTCATGTGCTAATGGTAAAAGCGAATCCTTGCGTGAGCGTCGTTCGAACACGTACGTGTTGAATATGTATAGTGAATGTACTTGGCAAATATCTCGATTATCTCGATTCTGTCGATCAAATCCTACATGAAAGTCTAGCAAGTCAGACATTTGAGGCTGCCATTTTGGATTCAAAATTTGATCCGTTGAAGTTGAGGACGAAATAAATCAATTCCAATCCGTAAAATATGGTTTCAGCATATGCTTTTATATATTACTATATATTTTTACATTTTTCAATGTTTAGTTGTGCCATAGGCCGGTTTCCTGGCCTATGAATTTGCAAAGCCTACTACAGTGCCAAAATAATAAAAAGTGCCCCCACCACCACTACCGCCACGAATTGAAGGAATGCAATTACCATAGCGAATCACATCTAGAGGAGTGTGTCTAAATTGTTTGACAGCTACACCACTGTTCCATGGCTATTTGCGTGCTAGATTTGATGCTATGGTGTTCTAGGGTATTGACGCTATAGTATCTTTTACCATTGGTATTGCTTATTATTCTAACTGAAATTATTTGAGGACTACATTTCAGCAGGAGCCACTATTAACAACTAAATGCGTAAATGTGTAATGGTTTTTAAAACAAATATGAAAAACTTACTTTCGTAATATTTCCATGTTCACTGCCAGAGTGAAACACTTGATCCGACTGATTGGCAATTAACTTCCACTTGAATTTATGGATCCCACTATGTTTGTCAGATGCTAGAAACAAAACTCTGTAAAGGCAAAATGAAATAATGTAAAATTCTCCTCGAAATTAATTTCTTATATATTTAACAATATCACAGGTATGTGTTCATCCGACGTCTCAAATTGCACGAGTGCACTACGCGAACGGATTTATTTCGCGTGGGTTTTACCCCAATAAACGATGGACACATACTAGTAGCATTGTTATTTTTATTTCATACCTTCAATACTATTGTTAATATTCAGTTTTTTCTTCTTTTAAATTTGAACCGAAATAGCGGTGGAAAAATGACGTTTTAAGGGGAGAAAAGGACGTTATGTACACACAATAGTGTAAAATGACACTTAGATGTTCAGAACACCTACTATTTTACTTCGTCCATTTGATCAGCGGATGACAACAGATCGTTTCTAACCTAAAACAGTTCGGCTGCTGGTGTATTGCAACATGTTTTAATATCACAATGTGAGATACAGGACCGTGTAATGCATCGTCACAAAAGACAAATTTACAAAGCAAACATATGTAATTAAACAATTAATCGCATTCAATTACGCATGCTCGATATAAACGTAATGACTAACACTAGTTTGAGAGATCTGATATTATCTTATCGACTCTTGAATTCGAGCTGCTCCTAGGAGTAAGCTTGGGCTAGAGCGTTCAAATCCTTATACAGTGACAGAGTAAGTGGTTTTATACCTAACTCACCTGCTTGAGAATGGATAAGACGCATTTTGTATGTTTTTGTGAAAAGCTGGCTGCTCGATTACGGGTGGTGACGAGTCAACATGGACCAGTATAGAGTCAGTAGCACTGTTGTTTACAACATCAAAAGCTCGTACCCAAATTCGTATGGAATCCCCGTCCTGTCTCGGGACGTTAATGGATGTTCGCTCGTTGCGATAGCCTGCTACCTTTCTCCACCCATATGTAGGCGTTTGCGTTATTGTCGTTCCTCCGTCTTTGTCACGTTTGAAAGCAGTATCAGCACGTACGATTCCGTGTAAGTTGTCAACAGGTTGCATCCTGCGCAATCCGTCATTATCATCAAGACCTGGCTTCACATTTCGTTGTCGAATTCCTCTATATTTTTCCGACTTGAACGGAGAAACTCGTGTAAGTAGTTTCAATCGCACATGCTCTTTGTTAACGAAATGATCAGCCCACCCAATCTGAATAGACTGACCGAGAGAACTTTCGTTTTGTAAAGTAGATATCCATAAGTGTTTGATTCCTACAGACCCATATATATCCATGTTATTATCGTTGATAGAAATCTCAGAAGAATTGTCGTATAGCAAAAGTCGTCTGGCATACATTGTATTGTTCGCCTTATCAGCAACCTCTAATAGAATGGTATACATACCAATAGTGTCTGGGGTGTACATGGAAACAGTTTCTTTTGGTTTCACTTGTTTTGAATACGAGGAAATGTTTACATTTGGTTCGGTAAGCTCCCCTGTCCTGCTATCCGGCTGCAGTCTATATACGTAAACCGTATACATGTCGACACCGGAGAGATCGTCAATCCATCCGCCCCATGTTATTGTGACCGGCATCTGTAATAAAAATCAAGTCACAACTCTTATTGTAATGCTGGTGTTTTGCGCAAAGTCCAACGTTTCGCTATTATTAATGTCCTTATAGAATTATTTACAGGTAAACACTATTTCTTTTTAAATTTCTATTTGACAAAAATACACCTGCAGAAAAACGTTCTTGCAAATTTCGTAGTCTTTGTGTGAGTTGGGGCGTTGTTATTTTGTGTGTAAATCAGGCAAATATTGAACCAGAATATTTTTCAGTTGCGTTGGCATATATACGCTGCTACGTTATGTTACTTCCATTAAAAGCAAACACCAAATTAGCGGAAACGATAGTGTTTCTTAATTGAACTCATTCATGAACAAGGTATTGCACATCACTATCCAGAAGATATATTAACATTAACACTAAACTATAGTTATATATACATATGCCAACATGTTATATCTGGGAGTACGATTTTACCTAAATGCCAGTGATTTATTCGTTTATGACTACCGCTATCTTTGTCTTCCAATATCAATACCAGTATTCCGAATCAACACAAACGTTCCTATGTTCAAAATTTACCTTACTTATGTCATTAGAAAGATGAAGCGGGGGCTCATTAACAACACAACTGCTATTCTCACTGCAATGTCTTGGAGGATGAAAGTCAAACATGTATTGCATTTGTTTCGTGGATATTTTCCCCGTATACTTTTGTGTCGCATGTCGACGATGGGTGTTCTGATTCAATATGTGTCTGTATCCCCCATTCTTTGCTGTGACCGTGACAGTCAGGCTGAAGACAATATCATATGTTAATCTCTAATCTATCATGCGACCAATGAAGCACAGAGACGTAATCAAGTATACATCTTATATCAATGTTTGGAGCATGTCCATATATTTGTTTGATATCCTCTAGTGAGTTCGCGTAGTGTTCCGACTAAAAGACCGATTTTAGAAGGTATGAAATGCAAACAAATACATGACACATTTAGTATCGATCATTTGCAACACATTGCGATACTTTCAATATGATAAGAGTACACAAATCTGTAATAGTGTTTGAGATAATAACACGTACCATATAACAACAACAAAATAGCTTTCAACGACGCGTTGGGTTTTTGAAATTTCTTATTACCGACCAAATGATGATTCCATAAGCTACATGACTAAATTTTAACCTTACTTTAGTTAGAATTTTCATGAGTGCTAACCTTATACATTTATAAAAATGACAAAATATCTGAAGGAATGTTATATTATGATTTCTGAAGTTCCACTGGTGTACGTTCACTATATCCCTTATGTTTTTTTATGATTTTGGAAGTTTCACTGATTAAATTCACTGTCACAATATATGGCTTTTTTGATTAACTGGCTTGATATTGTCGCAAAACAAAAAAATCAGCCTGAACAATAAATATTCCTAAGTCGTCAATACAGCAAAAAGGCGGCCAATAAAGAAAAGCACGACATCCTGATATTTGGCAATTCTTTACGTCATCTTACGGACGTGTTTAAAATGGCCGGTCTATCGTTGCGATATCGAATAGAGAATGGACATAAAAAGGGGAGCAGACAAACAAATGACAAAAGAATGAACACGAAAGATGAGGAATTGTCTCAATAACCATGACTTGTGACATTGAAGTGAATAGATTATATTTCATGCCAGACAGAGAAAAATCAGTGGACTGTTATACTTCATATTGGACACGTTTTGTGCAGTTTTACCAACATTTATTTCTTGGGAGTAATTATATATAGCAATCCTATAAAAATACAATTATCATACTTATCACCGTGCTCCAACAACCAGTCGAAATCTGTATCCGTGATGTTGCAAACCATACTTGCTTTTATGTTGGTTATTATAATTGGATACCCATGGCAATGGTAGTTTTTCGGAGTAGTTCTATATACAACGGTTGAACCTTTTAGATAGAAAATATTTAAAGCAATAGGCATCATGAAGTATTGATGCATAGAATTAATAAATCACAATCTCGTTAATAACCTTATAGGACTCAATCTTCTGCGAAAGTAGTACTAATGTAGTAAACAAAGTTAACATTAATGGTCTAATCATTTGTTATGTTAGTAAACTATGTTATAACATTGCTTATTTCAATAGAATATTTCACAGCATAATCTTTAACACAGCCAATAAATCAACGACTTGAATCAAATAAATACCCTGCAAAAATACGTGAAAAGTTTGTCTCCAAAAGGCAAATATTAGTTTCCTTTATCTGAAAATTCATGATGCTGGATATTTTCTCTGGTGACTTGTCCGAATCAACGAGGTTCGACTCAATCGCTAGTATACCGCCACTTATTGATTTCTTTTCAAATAAAGTCGATCTAAGCAATGAAAGTCAAAAACAGTGAAATGAGTATTAATTCAATAGCTGTACCTTGGCGTGTAATTTTGTTTAAAGTCAACTGTACGTATCCGTCCACTATACCAAAAGCATGGTCCTCTATATAGCGAGTATCTGGCAAGTTGTGTATGTATGGTGAGAAGTCAGCTTCAAAGTAGATATTCATGATGTTGTAGTCATTCTGGTTAACCCAAATCATATCTATCATGTGGTTATCTGGAGACGACGAGTCTGTCGTGAAGCGGTACATTTCATTTCCCGAAGACCTTTCCTTCATTAGAAGGAATGCAGTGCATCTCAACATTGTCGGCGCATCATGCACTTAAAATACAAAAACAATTTAGGTTTATTTTCGTTCCGCACATGAATATGTTTTTCTAATGAAGAGTGGGTTTTTTTTAAAACAAAAAGTCATTTTACGCTATGGTTATGGTAATGGTAGCATTTTATTTTTATTTTATTTTGACATCGTTTTGTCTGTACTAGTTGTTTGTCGCACATTGATAGGAAGTCTATCAATATGAAAAACCTGCCTGCAACTACAAATTTTGAAGCATGCTAAAATAAATTACACTGCACCATATTGTTTCGTCGGTCTAAGACTCATTGGTGATTTTAGGGGTCGGGCACGTGGAAATACAAGGGGGAAAACAATAAAATCCCTTGATTATATGAATGTCACAAATATTACTACGCAGGTTACCCATGGTGGTTAGAATGGTCTGCCATTTCATAAACCAAGCTAACCATGAAAAACAACCTGCTAGATCTACTAATTATTATTATCGGGTTTTTTTGTCAGAAAACATGGTTTGGGTAAGTTTCCCTTTTTGTAACAGATTTTTGTCATTGACAGAAAACAGGTTTTGAGCAAATTACCATTTTAGTAACAGTTTTATGCCATTGACAGAAAACACGGTTTGGACATTTTTTGTTGTTGTAATAACAGTGTTTGTTTTGTCATTGACAAAAACATGTTGTTGACACATTTTCATATTATTAATATTTTTTTGCCCATCATGCTGTTAGAATTGTACAAATTTAT